TGAGCCATATTTCCATCAAAGCCATATAGCTGTAAAAGGATTGGATTGCCTCTACAGGGTAGAAATGATCAAGAAATATTTGACACAGAATAAAACAATTGTGAATCTTGCAATCTTTCTCAGACAGCTCAAGTAAAAACTTTCGCAAGTCATTGTCAGCTTCTGGGGTTTGTATGGATACATCCACATTGTTTCAGTGACAACAGTGTAGAGGTCACTGAAATATAAATAAATAAAAATAAAAAGTGGTTCCATATTGCTCCCCTCCACCCCACATTCCCAGTGTTGTGTACAGCTCAGAGGCTTCCTGTGGTCTCCCAGTACTAACTATGCCTGATCCTGGTTATCTTTTTCAAGATCAGACAAGGTTTGCTGCTACAATATTTTAAATAAAATAAAAAATGATGCATTGCTTCTGTAGCCTTCTCCAGTGTGTGTCTTTCAGATATCAGGGATTATCACTTTCAGAGTGTCCAGCAAATGTTGCTGTCCACCATTCTGGTTTGGGTTTTTGAGATATAGGCCAAGATCTCGAGGAGCCACCATGATAAGAAAGCCAGTGCTACTGCCTCATATATAGAAACATTGTATTTTCCATCATTTTTATCCAAGACAAAACAGGCATGATAATTTTTTCAACACCTCTTCCAAGGCTTGAATCCATTTGATTTATCTGTTTACTTGATTTTTTGTAAACATTAAATGTTCAACATGTTAGAAGAATATTCAGTCTTCTGTGAACCAAATTACAGATTAGATATGCACAGTCTATTTCACTTTTTCTTTCTTTTGAACTCCCTAGATGGATGAAATATTCTGCTTTTCCCTATTTCTGTTCCCTTCTAAAGAACCTTCCCCAAGCTTAACTTTTTGAAATAGAGCAGAGCTAACTTCTAGTTCCATTAATTTGCAATAGATCCTGGAAAGCTGGTAGGTTTAGCTCCTTTTGAAATAATAGATAGACATAAAAGACAACAAACCTGGAATAGATCCTGGAAATCTGGAAATCCCCCCCCCTTTTTTTTTTCTTTGAATTCATATGGAACTGTACCTTCTGACTATGAGTCAGCTTCAGAAGCTCCAATATCATCTTAACTCCATGATTCCCAGCTGGAAATTACACATCTAAGCAGACTCATAAGTAACATTTCCAGCTATTGATTGGTTCTGCATAACAGATGCTAATGATTTATGAATTCTCTTGTGAGCTATCTCAGATACTGATTATTGGTTGCCAATGCGAGACTGGCAAGGAAGTGCTGATTAGAAGCAATGATGGGGATTCTCTTTCAAGACAGATCCAAACTTAAAAGTGAACTGAGCCTGACTCAGACTGGAGTGATTCCTTCAATCGGACAGGAGAGTTTGTATTTCAAACAACATTCTGTCAGTTTTCACACCAAGTCTCATTATTCAGCCAACACTCTTTCTGGGAAGAAGAGAAATGAGAAAATGCAATAATAACACAGGCAGAAAAGATCTCTAGTTTCCTCTGACTGTAAGTCATTCCTGAATTACCACAATTTTCCACAGCTGTTGAGTGATTCATCTCTGTTTATTTTATTTAGAAAATGTATATGGCATCCAGTCTCTTAGTTCCTGTGCTAGCTTTTAGGTAGCTTACACAATATAAACATCAGTAATGTCCATTAAAATAAAGTTAGAAATTTAAAATACAAAAGCTAAAATAGCAGCATCAAATGTCCTGGTAAAATACATTCTTTTTGTGGCCCCTCCTAAGCTGTAGTAAAGAGGGGACTTGTTCAACTCCACTGGCAATTTATTTCATAATCTAAGCCCTGCCACAGAGAAAGCTGTACCTGTCAATGATGATCGATGATGATGATGATAAATGTTTCCAAAGGCATTAATGACTTGAATATGAGGGAGGCTAGGCTGTGTCACCATGTATAGTCCTGAAAGTAGGTTGAAGAAATCAAATCAAATAATATAAACCTGCTGAAGTGGCATTTGTACAAGTCATATGCATGATCATTTAACATAAAGAACATTTTGAAAGTTAAGGGCATTGCTTGTTTGGTATACTGGTTCAAGAGTTCAAAACCAGGCATGTTCTCCTGTTCTTGTCTATATTATTGTAAATAGATGGAGGGTGAGAGGAAATTTTAACTGGAGAGAATGTCTAAAGTAATCCTAGAGCTCCCACAAATAGGAGGCCCTTTCTCATCTCTTAGATTCTGATGAGAGCGTAGGAATTCTGATGTAGTCCTTTGAATTATGTGGTTATTAAGCAGTTATTTACAGGAATAAATAAGTACAAGGCTTTCATATTGTCGGAACAAATAGTGACTGGCACAAATAATTTGTCATGGTGGATAAAGATGAAGGAACAAGAACAAAAATCATTGAACAATGTTCTCAGGTTTAAGTATTATTGTTTGTTCACTATTGCAATTGTGCTTTATTTAGTGGTCCAGGTTTTTGACAATTAACTGGGGGCCAGGGTGTAAATGTATTTTAACATTATAGGTTACTGGGAGATGTCTTACTGATTTATTTTTCAGTGATTCCACCCCCCCCCAAACTATATGAGTTAATTTCAGATCCCCAGGGTTCAGATCCCCATTATTTCATCTTAGTTGGGAGCAGGATGTCTTATGTCAGAAGAATTTCAATATGACTTCCTAACAAAAGAAATGGAATGTAGCTGATTACAATTCTAATTTTTTCATGTGGCTTTCTTAGGGCAGAATAGGCAGTCTGCAGTTTGTGTTTGGTTCATGGCATATTTCAAAGCCTTCTTCGGACAATTGTTAAGACCTGGACCTTCCCTTTCAACCTCCAAAGTTGCTTCATTGGAGTCCTTGGTGCTCTCTGAGCTTGGTTGTTTGCTTCCAGATGTTTCATTACCCAACTGAGTAACATCATCAGTACTAGTGAGTGTGGAGTTGCTCCCTGTTTATATACAGAAGCTTGCCCTGTCAGTGTTGTTGGGGGTGTGGTTTTCTCCTTGGTAGTTCCTTGATTAGAGTATTGTTTCCTGCTTGATTGTCTTGTGTTAATGCCTGCTTATCTAGGTGTTGACTGCTGGACAGGATGTATTATGGTCTTAGCTTAGCTTAGCTTAGCAGGATGTTTCCTTCTTAGCTTTTTTTTTTTTTTAAGTGGCTTCAGTGGACCTCCAGATTAGCTCTGAGAAAATGTGTCCCTTAGCAGAACAGAGCTGTATAACTAGCTATGCATGGAAAAGCAAATAGTTAAGATAAACTGAAGAATTATAATCCTAATGTCAAAAATGTTATCAGGATACATATTGCCAAGGCTACTTTGGAACAAAATGGTAGATTATTTTTGTGTGTACAACCTTCCGATTGTTGGAGAAATGTAATTGATAAGAGAGAGAGAGAGAGAGAGTTCATTCTTCTCCTTCTTTTCTTCCTCTGTGTTTTCTGACCATGGTTTAGACTGATCAATCTTTCTTTTTCTGCTTTCTGTTTCCCTTTACTGACACTCCGTTTATCATATAGAGACCCAAATGGTTTAATAACAATTTTAAGCAGAGTTGAGGACAATCATTTGAGAGCTTTTTCTAGTACATCTGGAAGTTTCTTGTCTTCTTGTTCTACTGAAACGAAATCCAAATTTTAAAAGTCACATTTGCCCAGTAAAGTGTGTGGGATGAGGAAGAGACGTATCTCATGTGGGTTGGTAATTTGGAGATACATCAGATTTCATTTATGTTGCTATGCTCATCAGACCCAGTGCAGTGACTAGATCTGAGTGCAAATAGGAATGCATCTCAGGGCTTCTAATAATCTCATGTGACAAGTTATCTGAAAGTGCAGCGTGTATCAAACTAAAATGATTATTTCAGTAGTAATTGAGATGATTTCCACATATGTGATAATTCTGGCAATGTAAATCTTAAAGCAATTTTTTTTCTTCCTCATGGGGCGTGTATGTTAATTTGCAGCATTTTTCTAATTTTTGGACAGGGGGGGCTTCTTTGCTTTGCAGCAAGCTTTTTGGCGGTGCTGCAGCCAGTGTCTTATGATACTTGCACTCTGATTCGTATTCCTTAGATAGAAAGAACCAGATGGAGAAGTGACTTCTTTGGGTACCAATCTGTCAAAATACATTTGTATAGCAAAAGACCAGCTTATATCCCAGGAGTTTGTCACTTACATACAATGTCTAATATCTAAGATAAAGATAAGGACTTGAAAGGCAAAAAATAATTAATTTTGCAAAGTGATTAGATGGAGTCCTATGAAGAACTTAGATATTATACTACTAAATTTTGGGTAAGGAATGTTGCTACTATACCTCAGCTCTTAACAGTGTGGACCCAAGCATTCCTCTATACCAGATCCACCAGGCAATCATTGTTTCATAACCAGTGTTGGGTTTTTGATTACGTTTTATTTATGTTTAGTACATTTCTGTTTTTGTAAATTGGATGATAATATTAATGGTAGTAATTTTCATGATACCAACAACATGGAATATTCAGCAAATACATTTTTATTGCAATTCTCTTTTTAATTGTTGAAATGTCCTTTTATTTTCATTAGTTTTTGGTGGCCATTCATTATGCCCAGCTTCCTTAATAACCCAGCATTTCCAGTTCTTCTCAGTTAATATAGGCAATGTTGTAGAATAAACACAACCAATATTTCTTTTTTTCCCCCTATAAACCTATAAAAGTGGTTATCAAATTACTTTAGCCACAAAGATATGTTCTCTAAGTCTATTTTATGAACCATATCAAAATAAAACTGAAGGTTATATTTTTAAAATATCTGTTTTAGAAGCTAACTGTATGAATCAGTGTTTGCAGAACTATATCATGTTCAAAATATACTTGTAACAAAATCATGCAAGATTATTTCCTTTTTTTCTTCTTTTATATACAAATGTTAATGAGTTCACTAACCATTCAATGTGAGACAAGTTTTTTTTTTTTCCACTTTACTTTATGATAGTGAATCAAGTGCTTAGTTCGCTTATTGGACAGTAATTTCCATCTTTATTCACAGAGATTGAAAAAGAAAGTTGTGGAGATCCTGGAACTCCATTATATGGTATTAGGGAAGGAGATGGATTTTCCAATCATGATGTGTTGAGGTTTGAATGCCAGTTTGGATTTGAACTGATTGGAGAAAAAACTATTGTTTGTCAAGAGAATAACCAGTGGTCAGCAAACATACCAATATGCATTTGTGAGTATAAACTGATATATTTCAATAATTTCTAACTGACGTATATATTACTGCAAACTGTTTTAAACTAAAACTGCTTTAAGTACAACCCCTCCCCCCATTTTTATGTTCACACCAAACAATGTTTTGCCTTCATACCATCAATGGTATTAATATTTATAATTAACCTTTCTCATGCATAATTGTATAGACACTTTTAGGATTGGATTATATTTCATAATGCTAATAATAGCTGAATTACAATCAAGGGCAATTGAAGTATTTATAAATCTTTTCCATTCGGTATCATCCACAAATCTCTTTTAGTGCATACATGATCCTAGAGATTTATATTTTCGTTGTCTATCACTAATCCCATGCAGACCAAAAATGTTGTTGTTATTTTAAATAATAACAACAACAACAACCCCCAGTGAGGCACGTGGTTGTGGGGCTTGTGTGCTCCAAGGAGGATGAGAGCTATGCCAGAGGTTCAAACATACTGGACAGGTCTCATCAGAGGAACCAGACAAAGAATGTCTCTCCCATAAACAATATGGTGAGATGTAATTTACAGAAACTAATACGGGATTGGTCATCACCCAGGTCAATAAGGACCATGTTAGGTGTTCTAGTTCCTGGACATCTGGTGACAAGTAGGCTACAGGATTCAGGACTGTTGGCTAAGCAACCAGAGCCAACAGCTGCAGGACCAGTGGAAGAAAAGTTGTAGCAAATATATAAAGACTGAAAACAAAGAAATAATGATATGCTATTACAAATCAAGTCTAATGAGAAGATGATATCTGAAAAGAATGCATCAGATCTGAAAAGAACATCCAGAATCAGAGATGATAGAACAGAGACTAGCAGATCACTGTTGATTTATAATATGAAATTAAGTATTCACAGAATTGGAAGAACTGCAAACGTCTACCCAGGGAAAGAAATCGAAGCCTTTCCAGAAGTAGCTCAAACTGTACAGGCAAACCAGGGGGAGTCAGCAGTAGAGGAAGCCAGTGTAGCTGTTGAATCATTTTCATTCCCAAACCAGGCAACCTCTTCTCTGCCTTCTCCTCAGAAAGAACAAAGCCCTCTAACTATTAAAAAGAGGAATTGAAAAAAAAAAAAAACTGAGCATCTAAAACAGCACAAAATCAATAGAATAAGGTTGCCTACATTGAAGCTTGTTACAAAGAAACAGCTAGCACATGTATTAAAAGATGCCAATACTGTAATATCAAGTATAAACACCAACTCACTGCAAGAAACAAACCAACTAATGCACACCACAGCTGCAGTTATAACTGAATACATTGGATGCAAAATCAACAAACAAGAAAAAAAACGTAACAGTGCACCATCAAAATGGAAGATCAGGTTGGAAAATAAGATCAGTATGCTAAGATCAGATGCAAGCAAGCT